TGTTACGAGCTAAAAATTGAACATGTTTTCAAGAACAAGGGCAAGAACTCATTCTATGTAAGTTCATGTAGGCTCCTGTAATAAAGTTAAATACTCAACACTGAATGCCACAGATCCAGAGAGACATCTTTTACTTACAAAAGTTGGATAAACTTACCTTATTAAATAAAATAATACAGATATCCACAACTGCTAAAGTATCACTACATGCTGATTCAGATGCTCTTCGATATGTAATATAGATTCGATTATTATTACTATTGTTAACATTAGCTGGGTGACCATAAGGTGTAGTGTGCACTACTTCACATCCACTCATTAGTCTTTCTTTGCCCTCATATAAAATACTGAAATAAACACAATGACAGTGATAGCTTGCCATATAAGGAAATATAATATCAAAAACAACTAGAGCCACTCGTGGCACAGAGTGGGACTTTGCAAATGTAGCAAATTGCAAAAGACCCCGAAAAAATCAACCTTCGACGATAATTAGATCATGTGCAAGAACAGTTGAGAAATTTTCATTTTTTAGAAGATTCTAATACCGGAAGTAAACGTCAGACCTCACAAATGAAAGTATCAGCAGATAGCCAAGGTCAATGACCTTTGATCTTGTAAAAGAGAATGTCTAAAAAGGTCAAGATCAAGAGATATACGTCATCAAAATTTCAAATTGCACACGACTATAAAACCGGAAGTTGACATAGGACAGCAAATATAAAAGTACAAATAGATAGCCAATGCCAATGAAGTTTGATCCTAGAAAGGTCAAGGTCAACAAAGGTCAAGGTCAAAAATTGAAATTATGGAAATTCTAAAACCCGTTCCTTTTTTTGAACTATAAAGCTGAAAGAACTGAGCTTTTAACAAAATCTGGCCAAATGGATGATGTAATTGTGTGCAAAGTCTCTTTTTGAAAAAACATAAACTATGCGAGTTATGCCCCTACCCCAGATTTAAACGATTTGCAGTTTAACCCGGATGTGCCACGCCCAAC